CTAACATTTCATTAGTTTTTGCTTGTAAATTTGTTATGTAGTTCTTAAAAAAAACGAAAAAAGGAAATTAAATAAAAAGAAAAATAAATCTAAACTTGTGCTTGAATTTGTTGTTGTTGTGCATCATTAATAAGTCTTTGAATTGTTTTTTCACCATCAATTAAATCTTGTTCAGTTTTTTTAAGTGAATCTATTTGTGCTTGTCCAATTTGTACTGTTTCATCTAAACGATTTCGAACTCTATCTAAGACAGCTGTTTGAATAGAATCTCGATAAATATCTTGAGGAATTTGTGTTTGTGGATATCCATATGGATATGAATATGATGGATTTCCTTGAGTACCACCTATTCCCGTTCCTATTGGTGTTGGCATTGGCATTGATGATGCATTTGTTGGATATGGTGTTGAACGATTAGTCATACTCGAATTTGAATATACTGGAGGTGATTGACTAAATGCTTCAGACATTGCATTTAATAAAGTATATAGATCACTATTTGGCTAAAATGAAATTAAATGAGGATTGAAAATAAAATAAATAAATTTATGTTTTTTACATGACGCCAATTTCTAAGATAAGATATAACAACAGTCCCATCAGCTTGAACATCTCCACTCGTTGTTGAAACAAACATATCTGGTGTTGGTTTAACATACGCTAATGGTGGAACTTGCGGATGATCTTGTTGAAACCAAATTTCAATTGGAATATTATATCGATTTCCTCTATAGTTACATGCAATAGTACCATGTAAACAAAGTAAATCTTTTGATATTCCTTGATTATAAAAAAATGGAGCAATTTTCAACATTAAAGAAGCTAATGGTGAACTAAGTCCTTGATTTATATCTCGACGAACCAAATCACGATTCGTAGGCTTTGAAATTGAAAGATTTCTTTTATAATAACATTGAATTTTGTTATTCTTACTCGTGCACGTTGAATCATTTGTTCTATATCAGTTTGAGATGGTCTTGCCATATTAGTTGTATATGGTATGGAACTCGAATCTAACTGTAAACTATTTGAAGCTTTTGTATATCTAATAGACATAGTTAGAAAAAGAAAAAGAGTAATAATCACCTGAAGTTAAGTCGAAATGCTATATGATAAGAACGAAAAAAAAAATGAATTAACTTTTACTGGTAATCAAAACATCAGCAAAAAAAAAACAGAAACACTTGATTAGAATAAAGAACTGACAAGTCAAATAAAAAGGGAAAGATGTCAGGAGACAACACGGACGATTAAATTATTTCTTTTATTATAATTTTTGTTTTTTTTTTTTTTTGTGAAACTAATTGTTAATTACTGATGGAAGTAAAAAATGAAGATAGTGTTCGTCGTCTATGAGTAGAATTATTTGTTGATGTTACTGCCGTTGTTATCGTTGTTCTTGTTGTTGTTGATATAAGTAAAAATGTATTTGGTTTTGGCATAAGTTGTTTAAGACGAACAAGTTCATCAATTTTATGTGCAAGACGAAGTGTTAATGTAACAAGTAAAATACAAACAACAAGAAGAAATATGGCAACAATTGTTATAATACGTGATAAAAATTTTTTTCTACTTTCACTTAATGTTGAATTTATATTTAAACGATATGTATGAATTTGTGATGATGATGGTAATGATAAACGATAATCTGTTTTAACATTATCATCTGTAGCTGATGAATTTTCTGTTGATTGTCCATCTTCAACCATTGATAATATATAATTATCATAGTCATATGTTGTTGAATTCTGTTCAACTGTTGTATCACGTCTTTCACTCATTGAACATTATATTTAGATAAGATAATTATCTAAAGATAAATAAAAGAAATATAAAAAAAAAACTAATATCTGATAAAGATGTGACTTACCCATCTTCAATTCTTGTCATCAAATGTGTTCTCTCTTCTGGTAGTAAGATTTCTTATTTTCTGTAGAACGTCATCGACCAAAAGAGTTCCGTCAACAACTAGAAGAAGCAATCAAGAAAAGAGAGAAGAAAATTCGCCGTTCTTTTTCCATAATCGTATGAAAACACCGCACTACCCGTCTTCTTTTCCCGTTTTTTTCTGACGTCAATCTTCTCATTTCTCTTTTTTTCTCTTCAGCACCTTGCTTTTCCATTCCAATCGTATATTTGCAGAACAACAAGACGAAGAACAAAAAGAAGAAGAAGAGTAATAATAACAACAACAAGAATATGAATGGTTCGACTGTTGAAAGTGATATTATCATAATTAATAACTATTCTCTCTATTTATAGTAGGACATATTTGGGTTCTTGTCTTCATTATATTGACATTTTCTTGTTATACAATCTAACAAGATTAATCGTATCACATCAACAAACATTTTTGCAAAAATCTTCTAGATAATGATTTTTATCAGATCAATTTATTGTACAGACATTTATTTAAATAATGTTAAGGCTTTATCAGATGTAATTCAAATAATTACAAAACAAAAAAAAAACAAAGAATTCTAAATGGATAAAATAATGAGATTCACCAATTGAAGAGATTTGATTGACTATAAAGTTGAAATAATTAAAGGATCTTCTTGTTCTGGAGATTGTAATGTCAAAGAAGGAGGAGGATGAGGAGGAGGAGGAGAAGAAGGTTGATTATTCGGTATTTTATGTTGTCTTATTGTGACAATAAGTAAAATAATTAAAAGAAAAAATGAAATTCCTTTAATAATAATAGCTGTACCAAATAATGTAAATGGAAGTCGATCTCCATTATATATAAAACATGATCCACGACGATCGCATGTTGCTTGTGACCAAAATAAACATTGATTATCAATAATAATTCCAAATAAAATTGGTGCAGGAATTTGAGCAAGAATTTTCATAATACAATTTTCTAAACCTAAACCAAATGATTGAAGTTCATGTTGAACTGAACGTAATATTATTATTAATTGTGGTGTTGCCATTAATGTTTGAAAAAATGTTACAATAAATAATATTAATAAAAATAAAAATGTTTCAGTAAAACATATATTTTGACATGAACCTAAACGAACATTTCGTCCTTTTGGTAAACATGTACAATTTGAATAATCCTTTAATAAACAATTTATTATTATTAGTCAAATATATATAAATATATATATGTATCTTACTGTTCCATTTATATATATACAACCAGCATGACATGGTGAAAGATAAGTTATTTGTTCTTGATAACAAATTGGTTGATATATATGTGGCGAACAATTACATAATTTTGAACATTGTGTATTACCTTTATATATTGTTGTTGATTGACATTTTAAAAATAAAAGTGCAATTAAACCGAACCATGATATTGAACAAGTTATTAAAATCATTTTTATACATTGAAGAATACCCATATGAAAACGACGAACTAAATATCCACCTGTAAATGTACCAAATACAGCTGCTGGAACAATAATTGAACCAGTTAATGTACTTGACAATGATGAAGATAAATTAAATACAGATTCAATATATTTTACCATAAATGTTGTAAATGATACAACAAGTATCTAAATTTAAATATTAATTATTTTAATTCATCAATAGGAACTATTTGCTAACTTACACTTTCTACTGAATTAATCAAAACAATTAAAAGAAATGTTAAATTCATTAAAAGATCAGTTATACTTGTAAAAATATCTATAAATAAAAATGAAATATATAATTAGATTTTTAAAGATAGATGAAAATAAACCTTTTATTTTTGATATTTGACATAAAGATTTACATTGAGTTGAATTTGTTAATTTGGGTAATGTATGACGTCGTGTTGCAGCTTGACCAAGAGCAAATACTGAATTGGTTGATTGTGTTTCATCTATTGATTCGACTGTTTGATTAATATCTCGTTGTAATTTTGCAGGAAATGTACAAAGAAAAAATGACAAAATTGTTAATGAACTTGCTGATACAAGAAATCCTGCCCACCAACGACCAATCCAACGAGGATCATTTGTTGTTATACCATGTGGAATTTGATTATGACCAATATTTATCCATTGAGAAAGAAGTGCAGAACCCATTAAAAAACCAAGAGCAGGTCCTAATGCAACCATTCCATATAGAATACCTAAAACAACAGCTGATGCCACTCTTTATTTATTCATTTCTTTTTTTTCTTATTCTTATTCTTATTCTTATTCTTCATATTATTAAATATAACATTAGTTCAAATAGCAAAAAAAAGAAAACATATTAATCATGAGGATATTTATTTTATTTCTACCAATTTTCATTCAATGTCAACATATTGATGATTTAGTTGACAAACTTCGTCATTTAGAATCATTTGTTGAAATTCAAGGAGGAAAGTTTCGAATGGGTAATAATGATCGACATGGAATTAATATGGAATTTCCGATCAAACAAGCACATGTTAAACCTTTTAGGTAAAACTACGATTTTTTTTTCTTCTCATCCAATATTGTTCTATATTTTATTTTTATTTTTTTTTTGTTCAATAAAGAATATTTCAGTATCCGGTAACAGTTGCCGCTTTTCGTCGTTATACGCAAGATAAAACTCGTTATCGAACTCAAGCAGAAATCAATGGATTTAGTTTTATTTTAGGAAATTCAACAAATAAATCTATCGTTAATATTACTTCTGAAGTTTGTTGTTGTTTTTTTCTCTCTTTCTTTTCTATATTTGATTGAAACTAATTTATTAAAATCTAATTTATAGGATGAAGGTTTTATTGCTGTTGAAAATATTCATTGGAATCGTCCTGAAGGTGAATTAATTGATATATCTGATCGTTTAAAATATCCTGTAACACATGTATCATGGTATGATGCTCAAGCATATTGTTCTTGGAAAGGAATGAGATTACCAACAGAAATTGAATGGGAATATGCAGCACGGGGTGGACTTGATTCAACTGCTTATCCATGGGGAGATTTATGGCAATTAAAACGAGCTAATCTATGGCAAGGACAATTTCCATATGAAAATCAATTACGAGATGGATTTTATCGTTTATCACCTGTTGATGCTTTTTCTTCACAAAATAATTATCAAATTTATGATATGTTAGGAAATACTTGGGAATGGACTTTAACTAAGTATTTATATTTATATTTATTTTATTTTCATTTATTTATTTATTTATTTATTTTTCTTAATTTATTTAGATATAGAGATTATGATGATGAGAATGATACTAAAGAACGATATGCAGTTAAAGGTGGTTCATTTACTGATACACGTGATGGTGATACTAAAATAGATCATATTCAAGTGAGAACAAGTGCAAGAAAAGGTTTTCGTCCTGATTATACAGCAGAAAATTTATCTTTTCGTTGTGCACAATCTATTGATACAAATACAAAACTAAATAAAGGTTATGAAGTTATTCGTCTTCGTCCACCTATTCATCATCATTCAAATGAACCACATGAACATATACATCATAAAGATGAACTTTAAAAAAGAAAAAAAAAACTCCAAAGTGTTAAAGCAAAGTTAAAAGCAACTATTAATTATGCTGGCTTTGTTTTTTAATTTCAATTATTCTAATATTTTACCTCAATTTTCTTTTTTTTTTTTGTTTTGACCTAATTAAACAGAAAAAAAATTTCATTTTGTTTTTTTTTTGCTTTTAAATAAATTAATCAAGAAGAGAATTTTTAAAGTTTTTCGTTTTTTTTTTAAATGAAATATTTTGAACTTACTTGTACAAATAGCTTGATCATCTTTATTAAGATGATCAGTTAAAAATGTAACTCCTAATGTATAAAATGGACTTGCACCAATTGACATAGTTATCATTGCTAATATAAGTATATAATAGGTCCATACTGGTTCTGGTGTTACATATGTATTTGATATATGTTTATCAATTAAATTTGGTGTTAAATGAGATAAAATTTTAGCTGTAGATAATGTTGAACAAAGATCATGAGAATAAATTCTTTGATTTGATGAATTTAATTGACATAAATGTTCATTTGTTTGATTTGATAAATTTGTTTTTGATTCTTTTTCATAACCATTTATAAAATAAGGTAAAATAAATAAAATATTACCAATTCCAAATAATAAAGCACCAAATGCAACTATTCGTGGACGATTATTTTGTGAACCAAAATATGATATTAATGGAATTGATAATACTCCCATTATATCATAACTACTAAACGCAACACCTAAACGTGAAGTAGAAAAACCATAATAACGTTCTAATGATGAAACAATTGAACCAATATAACCAGATGATATCATTGATTGTGATAAAACTATTAGACATAATAAAATTAAATATGAACGAATTGTCCATATACGAGAAGTTATTCTAAATAAATATTTTATTTATTTACAAAATATTTTCTTTTTTTCTTTTTCTTTTTTACCTTCTTTCATTTGAATGATCAATATGATTAACTTTTGTTTTTATCTCACTCATTTCTGTTTTATTTTCTTTCATTTTCAAAAGAGATAATCTTTTAATCTGTTTGTATTATTCTAATTCTTATCGTCTGCTGATCAATTTCTAAACCAATCTGAATTAATATCAACAGAGGACACTATTTGTCATATAATTATATCTTTTTTCAATTATTATTTTAACCTTCACATTATTTCCAAGCAACATCTCTTATTATATTAATTTTAACATAAAACAGTTTTGTCAGGTAAAATAATCCGTAATTCCGGAAAAAAATTATTCAATTTTCCAGAGATAATTAGAAAAAATGAATTCTTATCTAGTAAATCATCAATTTTGTAAGTATGATCAATATTTCTTCATGAAATATATTTCAATAAAATAAAAACATCTATGTATTATGCATATTTTTATGTTTGTGTAATGATTTTTCCATCCAACGTAAATATATTGTCTTTGGATAGAATTTTATTTATTATTAATAAATAAATAAAATAAATATTGAGTAAATAGACAAAGAAGATAATCCTCTTTCAAGGTCATTCGATAGAATATTTTCACATATTTCTATTGTATTTCTCTGACGTTTCTTTACAAAACTCAATTATCAAAATGAATGAAAAAATTTTCATTATCACTCTTTTTTAACATATCTATACAATTCAATTTGCACGTCAAACATTAAGAATTTTATAGATTAAATTATATTCTATCTTTTAAATTTGAAAATCATCACGTATACGAAAAACATCTTCAATATTTCTAGTTATAACAAATTTTTGATAAATCACTTATCAATATATTTATATATATATATATATATGTAAGATAATCAATTCAGCAACAAATATTGAACCAGTACAGAGAACAATGATACTCGTTTATGGATAAACGATTTAATTCATGCATATTAAAATAGAATCAATTACAGAAAATTTGATCATTTCTCATAGCATTTTATGCTATAGAAATATATAATTCATTTTCTACAAAACCCAATCATTGGATTAAACAAGTCAAAATCATTGATATTTTTTTGACTATTTTTAGACTTCGCCTTTTTTTATGAATACAATTTTGATTTTAGACAAGATTTTGTTTAGTTTTATTATTTATTTATAATAAATACTTTCTAATATGAAAAATTTAATGTTAAAAAGCCCAAACTTCATTTCAATTAAATTCGACAATACGATGCGTGCAAGTGAGAGAGAGAGAAAATGAGAAGAAAAGCCGTACAAGACTAGAATGAATCTATTTCCGAAGAGCGAAGAGTATAGCAGCTAATGTAAAAAAGCCACAACTCCATGCACCAGAAATGACAAATCCAAACCATACTTTAAAATAAACTAATGTCCATGCTAAATTAAATGGAAAAAAAAACAACAATGTAAAAAATATATTTAAATAGAAAAAAAAACCCCATTGGCATACCTCGAGAAACAATACATCGCATGGCATCAACAACATGTGTCAATGGAGTAAAATTACTAAGAAAACGCATAATGGGTGGCATTCCTTCTAATGGCCATATCACACCTATGTAAACAGTGATAATTACAGAGAAGAAAATATCTTTCGAAAATAATTAACCTGAACTAAGTAATATAGGAAAAACACTTCCAAGTGCGACTTCCATCACTTCAACTTCTTGTTCACATATAGCGGATATAAATAAACCTTGACATAAAAGAAACAAAAGGATATATTAGATCTCATTTAATTTCTTTTTCTCTTACCATAACTCATTCCACAAATGCCTTGAATAAATATTAATGCCATTGCTAATAAAACAGGTCCTTGAATTGTTACCTTTAAATATAAAACAAATTTATCAACAAAAAAAAAAGAAAATTTAAAGAAAAAGAAAAGCAAACTTGAAAAATGACATCAGCAAAAAAAACCATTAAAATAATTTGTATAAATTGTATAAAAAATTTGACAATAATATGTGCAAGCATAACTTCAACTGTTGTTACACCAGCAATCCAACTACGTTCTAATAGACCTTCTTTTTTTTCAACAACAAATATTAATGCTGTTAAACCAATAGCCAAAAAAAATATTATTGATATCATCATTCCTGGTGCAGCAAAATTTAAAAATCTTTGAACTTTTGCTCCATATATTGGATTTTCTATTATAACAGGTGGATCAGCTAAGGCTGGATCAACTTTATGACTTGATAAAAGATCTTTTAAAAATAATTGAGTGCTATTTAATATGACATTTTGCATTACAAAAGACACTTGTTGATCTTTATGTAAAATAAACAAATAAATCAAATCAGATCATTTTATTTTAAAATAATCATTCAAATAAATCAATTCTTCATATTTCATTAAATAGAAATACATCTTCAAACTAACAATTATATATCCTCACATTATTTATCAATCATAGATCAGATCGATTTGACAGATAAATAAGTTTAACGGTCAAATATGTGAATTAATATTTAATTAGTAAATCGATCTAAATTATAGAGTTTACGGCCAAAAGAAGTTTTCTTGGATATATATGAATAGTACAAGTGTAGACATTTATAATACGAATAAAAGTTTAATATGAAGATACAAAGTGTTTATATACTTTTTGAGTCTTTTTAACACATTCGAGGTGATAAGACCCATTGATGAATTACAGTATAAGATGGTTCAAACGTTCTTTTACTGCAGAAAAAATCGAATATCTCTGTCATGTAGGTGAAGTTAGCACAAGATTCGAGTAAATCTAGCCAAGATTTGTCTAGGAACATGTCCCAAACACAACTCGACGAGCTCTATCTAATGGTATAATCAAAATTTCCGTATCTCATACCATGTCCGAGAAAATCTCAAAATACTAGTATTTGCCTATAGGATTCTTAGCACAAGATTCGTCTAGGAATATGTTTCAGCCCAGATCGACGATTACGGACTTCATATACGTCAGTAAACGGTTGTATTTTGGCGATTTACATGGTCCAGTATTGAGGTCGTATATCGTCGTGACCGTATATGGAGAAATACGGAGCAAAACGCAGACCGAATACGGATTCCATCCATATACAAGTATTGTAAACGACTGTTTCTCTCTCCGTATACGACATGCGGATATACGACCGTATTTGTTTGACCTGAAAGAGTTCCTATTCTTGTTTCAAATACAACTCTACGAGTTCTATCCAGTGATATAATCAGATTTTTTATAGCGCCATCTGCGGCCTCAAAGATCGTAGTTTGAGCCATGCGAAATCTGATTATACCATTGGATAGAGCTCGTCGAGTTGTGTTTGGAACAAGAATAGGAACTGTGGAACATGTTCCTAGACGAATCTTGTGCTAACTTCACCTCGATATCCCTGTCATATTTTGATCAAATGGGTTAATTCTTTTACCACTGGTAAAGAAATGTTCATAACTCATATTGATAAGAGAAAGATTGATAAAAGCTGTCTTGAAGTATTACAATTACCCTGGATGAATAAAGAGTACCTTTCATGAATTATAAGAAAACAATATTCACATCGTCGCGAATATATTAATACCATCCTTGGATTAAATTTAATGATAGATCGTTGCAAGCTTCGTCGACTTAATTTACTAATTCATATTGTGACTTTGGATTCTTGTTTTTAATATTTCGTTTGATAGTGTTTCAGATCAGTTCAATACCGTTAAAATCAGAACTATTATCTGTTCATTGACATAATTCAATAGTATATTATAAGCTAGAGAGTACGATCGATGTAGCTTGCAACGACCCTATCATGAAATGTTATTCAAACATCTATTAAAAAGACTCAGAAAGTATCTCAACGCTTTGTATCTTCATATTGAACTTTTATTTGTATTATAAACGCCTACACTTGTACTATTCATATACAGAGCGTCCCGAAAGTCACAAAACGGACACTAAAAATTGAATATCTTCACCGCGCTCGAACTAAATGAGCTGATTTTTTTGACAACAGAGAACAGTTACAGGTTTTTATTCATTTATGGACAGCTTATTCTTTGTTATATAGAAACCGTTCCAAATAAAAACAAACCATTGTTCT